AAACAGAATATTATTGTAAAAAACAAAACAGACAAAAAGCTTTAATGAACTGATAATAATAAACAAACAGCAGATTAAGTTAGCAATTAGCTGATGTGAATAAAGCGTGTTACCATATATACAGGCTAAACAAGCTGATAATTTCCTCTGGAGGTGGTGGAGACCAAAGATAGAGCTAAAAGTAAAGTAAATATTGGAATTGCATACGCAAAGTAGATAAAAACCTTCATTATACTGAAATGGAACATGTTGTGCTTGGAAACTGGACTAATTAAAGCGACACATTATCCCATAGAGGACGTCACTGTAAGAAAAGTTTAGCTCTGAAAGTAGCATCTATTCCAACTCCAGAACTTCATACATGTGGGAAAATGTTCTGACTACACGGCCTTGACGTGTTCCTGGAGGTGTCTTTGTCATTTGTTGTTCATTCCCGTGTTCCATCACATGTTCTCGGGGGGAAAAAAAACAAGAATCTGATGGATGAATCATGAGTGTGAGTCAGTAAGATCTGGTTCATATGGCCTGAAACTGCTCTGAGCCACATGGGCCGTCTCTCCGTCTTTCTTTCTCTCTGCTCGGACAATCAATCATCATCAATGTCTGCGAGAACTTTCGCTCGGTTCGACGCCAAACGAGCACACGAGGCCGAATTAGGCAATCTATGAGTTTTCTCATCAACATCCAAGGAATTTCAACAGCATCAACAACTCTCTGGCAGAGCTGTCAGTAGACCACAGTTTCCCCAAACAATGCAGTCACACTCTGAGCATCGGAGTCGAGAGGACGAGCCAACCGACGCAGAGATCCAACATCTAGCAATGCATCACAATGCAAAACGCTGCAGCGAGAGCGCAGATTGGTTACACTTGCGGGGAGGGCAGTCTTGATTGTTTCGTGATCCCAGATGTTCGAGGTCCAGTGAGGAAAAGGGGAAAATATTCAGCTCTGTCTGATGATAAACCTGGCCGTGTCAGTCAGATTTTAAAGTGCTTTAAGAGGGGGGAAATTATGGTTCAGCAGTTTGAATAAACGAGCGGCCAGCAGATACCAAAGAGCTCGAGCCAAAAAGTCTGATTTCACACTTGCTGTGGGTCTGAAGGCTGAAGTCTGCAAAGCTGCAGCAGCACTGTAGGGGGAGAAACAAACTGTCTACCCATTCTCAGCGGGGCTGCTATCTTTATTTACTTCTTTGTTGTGATGCCAAAATAATACAGCCTTTCCACTGACTTCCACTGCTTATTACCGGTCCCTGTTAATACCCGCAAACTTCTCGGCTAACCACAAGTGTCAGCTTAAATACCTCCAGTCTACCGCTGCGTCTCGTTTAGTCCATCTCTTCTGCCCCTGCAGGGCATCGACTTCACTTATGAAAACACGGCTTCCACAGCTGCTTGTTTTCGCCGGCCTTCTCACGACGAGCAGAAAACTGAGCTCAGCCAGTCGAGCAACAAAAGACACTCCACCTCGACAGTGGAGATGTTTTCGCTCCCTCTGGCTCCTGTTTTGGTTTGGCCCTCATTCCAAGGACTTTGAAAGCAAAATCTGAACACTGCTGCTGCCTTTTTTTTCCCCTTTCTTTCTTTCTTTTTTTTTTTTTGCAATATTCCAAGATGACACTGATATTGATCTACTGATGTAACTCCAACTAGGACTTGTGAACACGCTGTACTCTTGCTGATTGTGTGTTTCAGCACCGATACCGAGACAAAACTTTCTCACCTGCAACAGAGGCCAAAGTTTTGAAAGTCACACAAGAACATGACGGTTTAAGAATTATCGGACTCACAGATATAATAGTACTCTCTGCCGGGGCGGAACTCGAAGCCCAGGGAGAAGGGAGTGAAGAGCTGGAACTTCTCGGAGAACTTGAGCGGTCCGTTCGGCGACAGGGGCCGGTTGCACTCCCAGCGTTTGAAGCCCTTGGCGGTGTGGTCGCAGGAGCTGTAGCCGTCGTAGTTCACCATGTAGAGGACGTAACGCTCGGCCCGGTCGTCCGATACCGGGCTGGCGTAGTGCGGACAGTAGACGTCAAGGTAGTCGTTGATGCAGACGTCGATGTGGTAGTCGCCCCGGTAGAACCTGGACAGAAAAATAGAGGGAAAAACCAACATAAATACACATCCGGAGAGTGTTGCATCAAAAAACATCAGCACTTTGGGGAAAGTGATGACTCACGTCTGATTCTTTGGAATTTTACAAGGTTCAAGCTTTCCCAACCAACTCCAAAGTCCTTGTTTTCATGAGTTAAAGGTGCCAAGTGGAGGTTTTTGACCACTAGCAGTGCTATGGAGCAATATTTGTTTTTGCTCTCACAAGAAAACAGATGACACGACTCATGTATTCCTGCCAATGGTTTCACACGATCCCACGAGCTGACAGGTGGTAATCATGTGTCAGAGAAGAAGACGACTGTCAGCAGGAGAAACGTGGACGTACACGACACAGGATTAAAAGCGAACCTCTTTGGTAAGTGTTTTATGAGGAATTAGCAGTTTTGGTGATAAAACACAGCAGCTTTCAGTCTGACTGGACTCCTGATGTGCACGTCAGCATTCCTTACCCACTGACTAATTCTTATTCTACTACTGGTTAAGGTGATTGCACTGCATGTCTAAATGGCACCATTATTCCCACGGTGGTGCCACAACAAAACGCCATCGCTGGTCTTGACCTTTCTAATGATTTATTTACCGAACGAAGACGAGTGTGAACGTTGCTCTCCGCAGCAGCCTGCTTTGTCTTCGCATTTAACATTCAGAGTCCCCGAAGCAGCGCTTTTCGCTAAAGGCTACGTGAGGAGCAGCTGTTTAAGTGTGCAGAGAAAGTTACTCGTTGATTTGTTCGGGGAGTCTCTCGCCATCGCGTTCGCCGACGAGAGTTATGAACGCCCCAAAACCTCGATGACAAGAGACGATGCTTTCGGTATCTCAGCGAGGCCCGCAGAAGAAGAAAAAGTTACCACATGTGCTGGAAAGTGCTTGGACTGTGAGAGAGGCATCTCTGGTTTTGTTTACAGGATCCCATCATGTCAGTTTCAATCATCCAGAGACTCTTGCGAGACTGAACCGAGTCCCCGTTCGCGGAGCAGAACCCTCTCACGACGAGCGCTTGACAGTCCTAAGCCATATATCAATGTTAGTGCTCAGCAGCGATGACTTATGCTGGTGCTGAAATTAAAGTCCCCTAGCGTTACAGGGCTAATCCCCTGGTTAGCATGTGCCTTTAGCAGCTTTAAGAGGATCCCTCTGTAGAATGAGATTTTCATTAGCCCAATATGACAGCTTGATGTAGGAGCCCCTCGTGGAATCTGCGAGTCTGGGAAAATGGGGCCTGTTCTCAAGCCTGGCCTTGATACAGCCTCGAGATCTCCCGCCTGATGTTTACTGTAAACCGAGCGGACGGGAGAAAGAAAGAGGGGGAAGGAGGTAAAAAAAAAGTGCAACAGCGAGAAATGCCAGGTATTCATTCCTGAGGAGAGCGATTGGAAACACATATTCCCATAGGCGCCGTATAAGGTTGCATTTCTGAGGCTTTTAGCGGAGACAGATTAGGCTCGGACGGGCGGCTGGATGTGTCTCTGTAGCTGCTAATGGCCCGCGGTCCAGTATCACTGACATACTGCGGATGTCTTCAATACTCCACCTCTGTTCATTGACACAGCGAGGGCCGTCGGGGGAACCGTGTCGGTGCATGCAGCCGGCTGATGATCCGATACGGGCGAACTCGCCGGGGGGGGGGCTCCGCGCTCACTTTTTCGCTGGCCGCGGATCAGATATTACGCCTACTTCTGGGGCGCTGGGAGTCGGGATCAGCTGATCTGAAGCCAGGTGAGGCCGAGGAGGGAGGGGCCGGGGCGCAGCTGTTGCCGCTGACATGTCGGGGAGGCATAAAGGGAGGTGTGTGCTGGCCGCGGCCTGCTGGGGGTATCGGGTTGTCGCTACACAGATTGTAAATGTGCTGCAGGATTAGTGGCCGTCCTACTGGGTTTTTTGCGAGCGCCACAAATGAGCGGATATGTGCACGATAGCGGGGTGTGCGAGCGTCTTGTGGCATCGTCAGCCGTATTCTTAATCTTTTTCTCTCTCTAATTATAGTCTGGTCAAATGTGAAACCAAAGCCCTTGTTTTCTCTCCCAGCTTTTTTTTCCAGCACCAGCTGAGCACTTTGGCTCCAGGCAGGCACAGCATGGCCTCCCCTCGCCTCAGTTTCAGAGGAGCTTGCTGATATTATGACTAGCGGGGTCAGCGGGCTCCAACAGTATCCCTTCTACAGCCAGGAGCGCTGTGGGATCGCCTGCTCTGTCCTGAGCTCCGGCCTCGTAAGCCTGAGTGGCTGTCCGTCAAACCTGAGCGGGGAGGAGCGGCTCAGATTAGTCGGGATTAGGAAGAGTTTCTGACTAATGCCTCTGAGAGCGAAAGGTGTCGAGAAAAGTTTGTGAAAGTGACGGTGACTCCGCTCGGATATTTGTATGTAGATTGTGTCTGAAGAAGGAATAAAAAGTTTTACTCGCGGCATCGACAAGCATCTCGAAATTAGTCTCCAGTGACTGATTAGGTTTCACTGCTGCACTTAATGGAAATAAATGCATACTTCAGTCACTTCCTCATTGTGTCAGTGCCAGAAAATCAAAACAGTCTGAGCCCAAGAAGTTCCCTCAGAGTGTTAGATGTAAGCTGGAACTTCTTCCTACTCACAGAAACTACTAAAAGAAGCACTTCTTGTGTTATGACGAGTGAAACTTTCTACACAAAAACAAGCCGCTCTTGAGTTTGAAAGCTTCAAACGGTGCACACATCGCCTCTGTTGCATTGGCACAAATCTCAGTGATCGATATCTGCACACCTGTGCAAACAGAACCAAATCTACCTGCATGGATGGAAACGACCGGAGGTATGTGAGGAAAGCAGAAATAATAAAAGCTCAAGCAGGAAGAGTCACACGAGAAAGACTAATAAAGCAGCAAAATGAAAAGGCATGATTGGAAACATGCAGTATCTGGTTAATTTTAATGGTGTAGTTTGAAGGAATCCTGGGATACACTGATTGAGTGCATTTACATTTTGCAAGAAGCTGCTGAATTTGATATGATTTTCCTTCGAAACTTGTTTGATTTTCAGCTGATAAAACCTCACAACGCCGTAAACCATCACCAAGTTCTGGTAAGAAGACTTACTCATCAGGACTGACAGAAAAGAGTCGCCCCTCATGACAATGCTAGACTTTTTTTTTTTTCAAGCGTTTGAACTTCTGTCCTGCTGCAAAGCTCGTCTGAATCCTGTCCAAACCTTCCAGCCATAACAGATCGATACAGACAAATTACTATAGGGCGCAGGACAAAATTTTATGGGAAACTATCTGGAAAGTTTGCAATAAATACGCACTAAAAGATGTCGCAGGGGAGGGACCGGGGAGGAGGGAAAGGTGGGATGTTATGCGACAGAAGATAAACCAAAGCAGAGGCTCTTCTGCAGCCAAACAACTGCAGCTTTGTCAAATTTTTTTTACTTGCATGCTGCTGCTTAGCGACACGTCCAGAAACAACAAGCGTCTTCCCAAAAACACGGCGATCAGTTTCTCATTTGTGAGACGTGAAACCGGATTGCACTTCCGCACAAACAGGGTCGAACATGTGCAGGCCGCATATGGACCGTAGGTGTTTACTGCAAAAAGAGGATAAAAAAACGCGGAGACGAGTGCGGCGAGAGCGTCAACAGATGAGCCAGATGTTTGCCAGATGGGGGCTGTAAGGAGGGCTTCTTTTTGAGTGGCACAAGTGAAATATTGATAAGACACGGAGCCATAAACACAGTCAAGATGTAGAGGAACCCCATCGCCGCCTTCTGAGCCGATCTCCGCTCTGATCTTTAAGACCATGAGAACATCCTTCAGCCCTCCATCTTCATCCGTTTAAGCAGCCACAAGCCTTCAACAATATCCTCAGTCGTCAGGGATTCTTCATTTTCATTAGCAGCGAGATTTATTCATCTGTTTTTTTCTTAATGGCTTTGTTGTTACAGGCTATTTAGTGAGTCATTAAGCCTTCGCTGGGCTGATCGAGGCAATTGTGCCTTTCCTTTTTGCTGTTTTTTCTTCTTTCCGAGCAGCAGGAGGTGGTGAAAGCTGATCGAGGGCTCGGAGTTTTGATAGCAGGAGGCGGAAAAGAAAACAAAACCGGGTTCAACAGTTCAGTTATAAATGTGTCATAATGACACATTAACAAAATAAAAGCACCCAAATCCTCCGTGCATTCATCTGGGGGATTAATGATCCCCGATTGGTTGAATTACTCACAGTCAGTTAGAGGAGCTTATCAATGAATCAGTAACCGGAGCTCTTAACAAAGCACACATCTCTGGGTAATCCCTCTTTTCACTCAGCTCCCCCACTTGTTTGCTTTTCTTTATCCTCTTCTGTTGCGTTTGGGCGACTCCGAGGCCCGGCGCAGGTACGAAACAGCAAAGATCCAGTTCGGAGAGAGAGAAAGGCAAGGAAAGATTTGTTTTTTTTTTTATTCATTCCATCCGTGGTCTGATTTTATTTCCTCTGGCAATCAACAAGTGCTTATAAACTCAGCTCGCTAAACTCCAGGGTCTCTATTTACCGTCCGTCTAAGTGGCCAGATTACGAAGGACTTTCCAGGAAAGTTTGAAGGGAAAATTCTTCTGAAATTGCACAACTGTAAATAACTGTTTTATTTCCCAACATGTGGGTTTTAAACGATATTTCAATCTCACTCGACGCTGCCAGGAAATACATTCTGGTGGAGGCGGAGGAATTCTTTATGTATTTACTTTTGAGCTTATTGCCGCCAAAGAAGCTTTGACTTTGCTTTCATCCGGATGCACCTGTCACACGTTGAGCAATCTGGATATTTTGGAAAAATGCTGGAATCAGCTCAAATCATTTGTAGAACAAGCACAAATACAAACGACTACTAAATAATTAAAGCATAAATAAGTAAGTGCAGCGAGTTCATGAATTAAAAGATCTTCGAAGGTGTAGATTTTAAAATCGTCCAAACCCTGAAACTTTAAGACGTATTATATAAAGTTATTGATGACGGAGCTACAGGGTTGAAT